TTTGACTTTCTAACAAAGTAACGTCATGCGAATCTTAATCTTATTACGTAATGCCCAGTTATAACTTGAGATGAAGCGTTAGTACCAGAGGCGGAGGGGAGTGGGGGCGGGGGGTTAATTTTAAAATTTTTATACTTATTTTTATTCTTTTTAATTTTTTAATTTCATCAATATAAAAATTTAAAAAAAATTAACATATTTTTATTTTTTAAAAATGTTATAATTTTGTTCTTATAATAATTTTTTATTTAATAAAATGTCCCACAACAATTAGTTAACAACTAATTTTAATAGAATTAACACCAAAAATAAAACTTATTACAATAAATTATATCGAAACCTCACTTCCTAAAATCTTACCACCATCACTTCTTGTTCTCTTTTCTTCTTATTAAATAGAAACAAAAAGTCATTTTTTCCTTACACTTTTTTGTTTAAGCATTCATTATGCATAAAACTTCCAATCAATAACTTAAATTCATGTCACAATAATTGATAAGTTTGGTTTATTTATAATTATTTTATTTTTATTGTTTTCAATTTAAACCTTTTTCTTTATTTAATAGTTTCTATTTAATGATTTTGATTTAAAATTTACCATCTTAGTCATCTTTTGTTAAAAACAACGAATTAATTATTTGATTTAGCACCTAAGTTTAATTATTACTTATTTATTTAGAGGTTACTTAATTGCATTCCTATATATTATTATTTTTTACTTAGATTATTGTAAACAATTAAATTTTTTATTCAAAAATTACTTCTCATCGAATTGTTTATTGATACTATATTTAATTTTTACGATTGATTTTAGGGAATTGCTTCCCATTGAATTGTTTATTGACAGTACTTAATATTTTTTAAGATATTACTACCAGTTAAGATTTTTGTTATTATATTTGTTAATTTTTATTTTTTATTAAAGTTTATCTAAGAATTGAGATTATTTTCATTATTAAATTATTTATGATTATACTAGTTAATTATTTTAAGTAAATTATTAATTTTGATTCCTTTGGATAATTGTAAAAAATTTTGAAATATGAAAATAAATTATCATTAGCAATAAAAGAATTGAATCTTATTTCAAGAAAATGAGTCATTCATAAAATATTAACACTCTTAAGTCTTCATCCCTCCAAATATGAAATCTTGACTTTGTCACTGATTAATACTATAATATAATGTGAGGAAATGTTCAAACAAATTATAACAATAACAATTAGATTGATGACATGTACCTTATGATGATTTCAATATGACTTATTAAACCATATTATTGTCACTTAAATCTTAACTTCTGTCCAAACAGCACTTGGCACTATTGGCTAATTTTTCAAGTTGCATAATTAATTATTTCTCCGTTACCATTTACTTACTATATATTGGCAAATACACACACCTTATAATCGATGAAATGAGCCCGGCTTGCTTCATTATTATCATCATATATATGAATTCAGAACCAAAAAAGAAAATCGATATATGGTTGTTAGTGGATGATAGCCAAAGTAGGGCAGAAGCTCAACACTCAGCAACCAAAACACTTAAAAGGCCCGATTAACTAGCCCAAACTCCTCATTTCAAGTACCAGCAATAATATTCTCATAACCCATCACCGCTGGGTCAAACCAATCATAGCTTCATGAGGCTGCTACACTATTTACTTAAACAACACCCTTTTTCAATACTTAGTATTTGTTTGATTTTTTTTTAATTTATCTATCTATTAAAAGTAAAAATTAAATTAAATATAAATTTAAAAAAATAAAAAATATTTTTTTAAAAAAATAAATTTTTTTTAAAAAAAATTTAAAAAAATAAAATTTTTTTAAAAAAAATTTAAAAAAAAAACTTAAGTAAAAGCTCCTTTTTCTTTTTTTTAAAAAAAATAAAAAAATTTTATTTTTATTTTAAAAATATTTTCATCTGTTAAAAATAATTATAATATTACCTTTTTAAAAAAAAATCTTTTATGATAATTTTAATCAAAATTATAACTTATAAAAAAAAATTTACCAAACAATTTCAGCTTAACTCTAAAAGCTATTATTTTTTATAAAAACTTCATAATAACTTTTAAATTAAAAAAAATTAAATCAAACAGGTTTTTAGTAACTCCCAACATCGATAATTCCTTCTTATTAAGCAGTGACATGGGTTACTCCTCCCTCATCCAATAAAGATACAAGTAACTCCTCTACCATCGACGGTCTATAGTCATTATAGCGAGACAGATTCATAAGTTTTTTTAAATGATATTATAATTAAATTTATTTTAACTTAAAATATTTCACCTCATTTCTTCTAAATCTGTAAAAAAATTAATAAATATATTAACATCATTAATTACATAAAATTTTAACATAAATAATATACTTAATAGAAAATTTTGACACGTTTTTATTGATCTCATCTAACACTATTCCACTTTTATATCAGTCCGCCCTCGATGGTTACCTACGAAGAAAGCGTGAACTTCTTTTTCAATGACCGGAGCTGAAGGAAGAAAGTCATTTCTGGTAAAGTCAGTTTCCATGTCAAAAGTTTTTCTTGGTCAGTTCGAAGTTCAAAAATTGTGGCTCAAGCAGTCATGCCACGACTCATGGACCGGATTTCAACGAATTTCCAGACATTGTGAGTCAGATATACAAGTTAGAAACGAGACAGAAATGGGGAGAGAACAGGGCTTTGCTCTGATTTGAGTGCACCCTTTGCTTAATTTTGTCATCTCATATTATTGAGATTTATTTGTTTGCTCATTTTGCATTGCAATGCTTGCTAGTTAGTTTGGCAAACCGCATGGATGGAGTTGTAATATTGCTGTAGGAATCTCGATTCTATATCAGTTGGCAAATGCCATGCGAATTATTCTAAGCATGTAGCCGTCTATTGCTGCAAATGGAAAATTAATTAAGGCATGATTACTGATTAGATGACTGTTTCAATTTGTTAGTTCGGAAATTTTCGTCTCGTCTCACACTTTGTAGGCAATGTAGGGACAATAACTTGAAAAACTTAAAACTTGAAGTTTGGTCAACAAGTTAATTAGAGTTTCGTTGCTTTTGGTGGCTTTTGATTGTTTGCTTGAAAACTAGAATATGCTAATATTATCATCCATAGCATTTCGGTTGAAAATGATTGAAATTGACCATTATATCCTCTAATGAGAAATCCTCAATTATATTATTTATAATATAAATTAAAAATTATCTTATTCGAACATATTATTGATTGATAAGTGTATGTATATTTAATTAAAAAATTTAGTTAGAATTCTTATTTCTTTCCAATTAAAAAAATAAAAGATATTTAGTTTAATTTAATTTTTAACTTACTTGTAATAATGGCGAAATCTATTAAAATTGAAAATTATATCTTCTAATGAGAAACCTTTAATTAAAAACAAAAAATAAAAATTACTCGAGTATATTGTCTGGTGATGTGTACATTTATCTTTATTTAAAAGATTGAGTTAGAATTTTTGTTTCTTGCAAACAAAAATATATAAGCTAAAAATTGCAAAATGTTTAGTTTTATTTGATTTTTAAATTACTTATAATGGTGAAACACTAGTAAAAACAATTAAAAGTTTATCAATTTTCTTTCTTGTGAATTTATAATCTTTAAGTAAAGACACATGAAAATCCACAATCAAACAAGATAAATATATATATATGCATATTTTACCTAAATCAAGTAATTCAAAACATATTTAGGTATCAAAAATAGAATAATACAATTTACCAAACATCAAATTTGAATTTGGTATAAAAAAATTTTGATTTGCCATTTAATTTCACAGTAACAAACCCACATCTTGGGGGTGAAGAAAGCTAGAAAAGGGGTCCCATTAAGAAAAAAATAGACCGCTAACGTTCTTTCATGGACAAAGCATCGCCTAAAGCTTTCTTTCTGTCAAAGCATCATATATATCTTCTGTGCTGGCAGTTTTGTATTTTTGTTTGATTTTTTCTTTCTTAATTCGATGGGTTTTCTTAACAAATTTCCTAGAAACTTTAATGATGGTACTTTTTTTTTTAAAATTAGATTTTGACAGAGCAAGTAATCTGCTGCGATGAAGCCATTTGAATTGTGGCACATCCAGAGGGTTGGACAAAAGGAATCAACGGTCCATGTTCAGTTTAGGAAGTATATTTAGACACGCAAATTTGGAAGCTTGATGCCGACTTTACATGAATCGTGTTGGTGCCACGTAAACTTTATTTGTCCTTGGAGTTTTGATGATGATTTTTTGGTTGTCCTTCTTTGATTTCCAATATCACCCTTAATATTTTTATTGCAATAATTTATTGTTATTTTTATACTAAAATCAAATTTTTTTGTTGTCTTTTTAAAATTTAAAAACACATGTGAACTAATTAAAATAGTACAATAAAGTATGAAATAAAAGTTACAAAATAAACATAGAAAAAGTAACAAATAAACAATACTTATCTTGGCCCAAGAAAAGTAACGGTTAAATATCTAAAATTCCTTTTTGGTCCCATACATTGCTTAACAATATCAATCACAGTTTCGTTGTGTTATTGCAAAGTCATGCTTGTCTATGATAATGAAGCTAAATTTGAAAGTTTCAATGCAATCTTGGTTTTTCTTTAGTGTATATTTTTTATTAATTATATTCAAATCAATGGTCAAAATGAATTTTATAAGACAATTCAAAATAAATGAGTAACCATTTAAACAAAATGGTATTTTAGATTTGTAAAAATGAGAGGAATTTTCAGTTTTTTAAATTAAATATATATATATATATAGCTTGTGATTTGGTGGTTGGAACCTTAATCTTCTAAGCCTTAACTAGCAATCTTTATTCCTTTTTTGGGCGCGGGGGGAGTACTAATAATTTTACATAAATACTGCAAAAATAAAAAATAGAAAATAGAAAAATCTAACTAAGGGCAATAATGTAATAAAGTAAGTCGGTTCAGAATAATATATATTCGAAAATTCATGATGCTGAGTTTGCCCTAGCGTTTTGTGATTCTCTATTCGTTGCCGACTGGCCATATATAAGCTGCGGCTCCTACCCTTTTTGTCCGCAACAAAACTCTTACCTCTACCATCTGAAAGCTCCGACCCCAGCTTCTCTTCCCAAATTCCCAATCCATCTACTCCCCTTTTCTTCCTTATCTTATCCAAGGTACGATTCTTCGGTATCTGAATTTATGCATATTTTGAAATGAACCCGTTCGATTCCATTTATTTTTTTTTCTATAGTATTCTTCTAAACCTTTCATTTCTTTGTCCGATAGCCAGATTTCTGTTCTCTATCGTTGAATTGTGGCAGATCTGTTTTCATTTTCCGGTTTTATTAGCTTATTTTCGTTTGATTTATTTTCGAAGTGGATCGTTTTTTATATCGGAACGATATAGTTTGGTTCTAACCATAGAGTGATTATATTATTAAATCTGAACTTTATCTGTAATTTCTGTAATCTTTTATTGTTTTTTCGTATTTAGATGGTTACAATGCAGATTTAATATCCTATATTGTTTTTTTCTATTTATGTTTCTTTATTTATCGTTGAATAAAATGATTGAATTATTTGTTCGGAGTTTTTGCAGCAATATTTATTAACTTTCCAAACATACATAATCTTTAACAGTGTTTTTTTAATAGGATGTTTGAGAATTGAGATTTTACTTCTTCTATTTGCCCTGTCTGATTTTGATTTTCTTAATTCAACCTTCATTTAACATTTTCTTATATGGAGAAACAGAATAATTTAATCTTGGTTTAGATTGTGTCCGTATATTCTAGATAGTTGATATTCCGAATTTGGATGATGGTAGGCTTTTAAGCAATGTAAATTTGCTTATTCTGATGTTATGTGGGCATTTGAAAATTGACATATGTTTAGTTTGTATGTTTTATGATGTAATATATGTAATGGTGGAAATTGTATATTTATGCTTCAGTGCTTTTTTTTTTCTTTTTTTATGATTGATCTAGTGTTTTTCTTGCTGAACTAATGCCTACCTGTTTTTTCTTCATGTTGATGGGTCTTATACTAGCTATTGACAAACTATGCTTCTAACCATTACCTGGACTGACTCTGTTATTGTCTTTCAGTAAGTTGGCAGTTTAGTCTGCTGCGTCTGCAGTTTGTCAAAGTGGAGGGTGTTAGTTTTGAATCTTCTTTTATGTCTGAACGGGCCTCTCTCTTTTTGTCATCAATTGGATTACTTGGAGAGTACTGCCCCACGTCCAGGAAAAAGAATAGAAGTTCCTCTTGTGAAGTTATCTGCATGCATATTGAGGCCAATAACACACACTGTCTTGGTTGCCGTTTTATGCGACCTCTTCCAAGTGCAAGAAAGCTGTCTGGAAAAGGAGGATTTCTCACCACAATTCAAAACACCAGTATCTGATCAGTGCCCTTTCTGATTATCTCTCTCCTACAGTTTGATTAAGATGGCTTTGCAAAATATTGGTGCTGCGAACAGTGATGATGCCTTTTATAGGTATAAGATGCCAAAAATGATGACCAAGATTGAAGGGAGAGGAAATGGTATCAAGACTAACGTGGTTAACATGGTTGAGATTGCAAAGGCTTTGGCCAGACCTGCTTCTTACACTACAAAGTATTTTGGTTGCGAACTGGGAGCCCAATCTAAGTTTGATGAGAAGACTGGAACTTCACTTGTAAATGGGGCTCATGACACTGCCAAGCTTGCAGGGCTTCTTGAGAACTTCATTAAGAAGTATGTTCAGTGCTATGGCTGTGGGAACCCTGAAACTGAGATTATTATTACTAAGATGCAGATGATTACCCTGAAGTGTGCTGCATGTGGGTTTGTTTCTGATGTTGACATGAGGGATAAGCTTACAACTTTCATTCTTAAGAACCCACCTGAGGCGAAGAAGTCTTCAAAAGACAAGAAGGCGATGAGGAGGGCTGAAAAGGAAAGACTTAAGGAGGGTGAGGCTGCTGATGAAGAGTTGAAGAAGATTAAAAAAGAGTCAAAGAAGAAAGGTACCTCTACTACTTCAAAGGATGCTGCTTCCAAAGGTGCAGCAACCAAGAAGAAAAGCAAAAATTCTGATGAGGATCACTCCCCTGCACACAGCCAGGCTGATGAGAATGAACAGGTGGCCAGTGATGACGACAACGATGATGTGCAGTGGCAAACAGATACTTCACTAGAGGCTGCTCGACAACGTATCCAACAGCAGTTGAGTGCTGTTACTGCAGATATGGTGATGCTTTCTACCAATGAAGAGAAGAAAAAGACTGTGAGGAAGTCTCCAGAGCGTGAGGGCAAGGTTCATGAGAATGGTGTCAGTGCCCATGAGAAACTTGTTCATGAGATAATGGAATACCTCAAGAAAGGGTCCCCTGCAACTCAGCTTAAATCGTTCCTAGGTTCACTCTCTGGAACCTCCCAAGAAGTCATGGATGCACTGTTTGTAGCACTATTTCATGATGTCAAGAAGGGATTTGCAAAGGAAGTGACCAAAAAGAAGAGCTACTTGGCAGCAGCAATTCAGGAAGAGGGATGGCAGATGGTGCTCCTCCATTCTATTGAGTCTTTTTGTGGCAAGGCTAGCCCTGAGGCAGCGAAGGAGGTGGCTTTGGTTCTTAAAGTGCTGTATGACAATGACATTTTGGAAGAAGAGCTTATCATGGAGTGGTACCAGAAGGGTGTAGCTGGTAGCAATAAGAGTTCTCAGATTTGGAAAAATGTCAAGCCTTTCATTGAATGGCTCCAGAATGCTGAGTCCGAGTCAGAAGAGGAGTGATTCTGAAGCTCTTTGGCATAGTTGCATTTATAATGCTTATACCAGACATGCTACTTTTCCTACAAAAAGAGAATAGTTATAGATATAAGTGTGTGGCGACAGTCAGTTTGTTTAAATAAAGGGCAGTGAGCGAGCTCCTGCGTGCTCTCTGTTCTGTTGCGTTGTGATTACTAGTTGTTGTTACCGATTTGAGTCTGGTGTTCTGATTTGCTTCATCTGACTTTGTGTCTGCGTGCTTAAAACTATATGAAGTTGAATTGAGTTTGCTACTTTTTCATTTTTGCGTTTCTCTTGTTTTGTTCAAGTTGTAAATGCTGAAAGAATGTCCCAAACGTGGTAGACAAGAAAGCCTATAGGCTGGCCCAAGATCTAGCCTGCCCTGTATTGGCCCTTGCATAATGCTAAACGGTAGAGAGGTAGGTACCATTTGGAATGGAAAGATATGGAATGTCAGATCGAGTAATAAATAAGAATAAGACGAAGAAGACGAACAGGACACCTGTCAGATAAGATCTGAAGATAATGATTTGGAAATCTTTGAGTACTTGGTTAAAATTTTGTTTAAACGAAAGGGTGGATGATGATGATGATTAACAACGGGAAGCGAGACCAGATTGAGCTGGGTAGAATTGGGGATTTGTGAAGGGATAATGTGATGAAGAAAGGATATAATTACTTTGTTCACTAAATTACCGTTAAAAATATGTAGAGAGAAAATTACTACAGTAACAATCTGAGGGTCCTGATTATGACCATGTCATGACTATTTAGCAGTAATTTTGTATAAATTATTTTGTGTACACTAAAAGACAGGAGAAGATAATTCAATGTCGGCGCATAGTAAATGTAAATCGCGACAGGAGAGCATCCAAATCCGGTCGTTGCAATCGGGACGTTCTCTCTCTTTCTCTCTCTCTCGCTCTCTAACCGTAAAACGCAACAAGAAATCACCTGCCCGATTTATTCTTCCCTTTACCCTCCGAAATTCCCTCTCAACGGCCTGCCCACATCAATTTCCGATTTTCTCTCTCTCACCCAACCCAAACAGACACTCACTCTCTCTCAAACAAGTCAGTCTTTCACGTTGACCATACCCCCACCCCCTCACCTCCCTCCAAAAAATCCCAACCATCTGATTGGTTGACATGCTCACTCCGCCATCAGATCGGAGGGCATTTTCGTACTTTACGCACAGACAGTTCGTGTTTATTCGGAGTTAGAAGTCTAGCCTAGCAGTACTGGTACTTGAATAAAATCACCAAAAGGCGATTGTAGTCCACGCTCTGGAATGTGCAGTTGCAAGAGTAACGTAGAGGCGGTTAAGTTGGTCGTGGGCTAAAACTGTAAATTTCGAACCAATCAAAAATGGCCTTTCCCTGGCTTTTAGTTTCTTCTAATGCGAACAAAACTTTGCTTTCGTGCCCGCTTCTCCGACCCCGAACGGAACTCTCTCTTTCCTACCTGACCTCAGACACACCAAAAAACACTATAAACACTGGAAGAAAGAAAGTCTCGGACTCTGCATTTTTTCAACACACACGCTACTGCCGTACTCTCCTATTTTTCTTTTATCCCTTTGAATTCCCTTCCTTTTTTTTCTACCCAAAACCCTAAGCCCCCCAATGCCGCCTCCACGGCCTCCTCTTCCTCCTCCTGAGCTCCGCCACGTCGATTCCAGGATCTGGCGAGCCTGCGCTGGCTCTTCCATTCAAATCCCCACCGTTCATGCTAGGGTTTACTATTTCCCTCAAGGCCACGTGGAGCAATCCTGGGGTTCCACTCCGGCACTGTCTTCTCTCGTACTCTCCAGACCTCTCATCCCTTGCGTTATCTCCGAAGTTCATTGCCTCGCCGATCCCAAAACCGACGAAGTCTTCGCTAAACTCCTCCTCGTCCCTGTCGACCCTTCTAGACTTCCCAATCAATTTTTAAATATCAACGGTGACGATGAAGATTCTGATAAGATCGTTTCGTTTGCGAAGATTTTAACGCCGTCCGATGCAAACAATGGTGGTGGCTTCTCCGTCCCCCGGTTTTGCGCTGACTCTATTTTCCCGCCACTAGACTACAACGCTGAACCTCCGGTTCAGACTCTCTCCGTCACCGACGTTCGCTGTGGCGTTTGGGACTTTCGCCATATTTACCGAGGAACGCCACGTCGGCATCTGCTCACCACAGGATGGAGCAAGTTCGTTAATCAGAAGAAGCTCATCGCTGGCGACTCTGTTTTGTTTCATGAGGGACTGCAATGGGAACATGTTTATTGGAGTTCGGCGTGCGATGAAGAGAGAAGCGGCGGGATTTCGGGAGGTGGAGAGAGCCTAGTGATGTAAAGCAATGCAAGGGAGGGGAGGGGAGGATGACGGCGGAGGCGGTGGCGGAAGCGGCCGAGAGGGCGGCGAAGGGGTTGCCATTCGAGGTTGTGTACTATCCACGGGCTGGGTTGGCTGATTTCGTGGTGAGGGCGGAGTTGGTGGAGGCTGGCCTCAATATATTCTGGGCTGGAGGGACGAGAGTAAAGATGGCTGTTGAGACGGAGGATTCGTCACGAATGACGTGGTTCCAAGGGACGGTTATGTCTGCTGCGGTACCGGATTCTGGCCCCTGGACTGGCTCTCCTTGGCGAATGCTTCAGGTTAAAATGCTTCGGTCTCAATAGTTCGAACTGTGGTTATTCATTTTCATTAAATTGAATGTGGTTTACTGTTGACTTCAATATTAACAATTTAATCTGTATTTAATCGAGAAGTATGTACTGAGTTTTAAACGTTCACTTGAAAGTGGGACAGTGCGATTTACTTATAAAGGATATAGTTCTGATGATAGACTGATAGATTGGAGGGATTGAGGTTGAAATGAGATTACGAAGTTGTGGCAGCAGGCTGCATTTTACTTTGGTGTATATTTACTTTTGCATACATTCCCCTAAAATCAATGCCCTATATTAGGTTTTAAATTGTTAATTTAGCATTTAAATGAGATTTTGAGAGACAGAAACTAGAAATAAGTCGAACAAATCTTGGAGTTACTCTCCATGGGAAGTTGGCCAGGTTGGGGTGGTGCAATTAAGATTATGGATTTCTAGGATTTCTTTAGAATTTGCTTTAGATTAGGAATGTTTTTCACCATATTTTTTTTGTTTCTTCTAAGCTGTGTTTGAATTTTGAGTGGCCTGTTAGATAGTGGTTTCTCATTCAAAGCAAGATGGAAGTTCTAATTTTGTTTTGTTTATTGAATTTGGCAAGTCTTTTGTAAAATCATCAAACTTCTTATATTTGATTTTTTTTTTTGTGGTTAAGTCTTACTTTGTTCGGTAAATAAGTAAATTGCTTAAGTATTTAATTTTGAGTCACTTGATTAACAAGGAAAATGCAGTTTACCTATTTTAACATCAAATCCCATCAACTTGGTACTTTCCAACGTTTTGAATTTGAATGCTTAGGTGAATAGTATCTTGTGGTACTCCTAACTATGTCATCCTATCCTCTTAGTAGAGAATAGGTGACTTTTTGGTGCTTTGGTAGAGTTCTGGTCTATGAGTGGAAATAATTGGAGAATATTTTCTTCTTTGCTTTATGTTTTTTTGTATTTCAAAGGTAGCATTTTGGGGATTGGGTTGTGGTAGAATAGGGTTTGTTTAATTTACATTAAGTTTTTGAGAGGTATTAAGATTAAATTTTCATCTGTTTTGCTTCTTATAGAATTTCCTCCCCTTTACCTTATGCTGATTCTCGATTTTATTATCTTTATATCATAGGTTGCATGGGATGAACCTGAAGTTCTCCAGAATGCAAAGAGAGTGAGCCCATGGCAAGTCGAAATTGTATCCTCCTCACCGCTTCATTCTTCATTCCCCTCGGCAAAGAAGTTAAAGTTTTCTCAGGATTCTGGGCGAGCTGATGCAGAGGGAGAAATCATCTTCCCTATGACCGGGTTAACTAATTCAATGATGGGGTACATGAATCCATCAATGTTGAATTACAATTCTTTTCCTGCTGGCATGCAGGGAGCCAGGCAAAATCATTTTCACTTGCAAAGTTTAACTAACTATGCAAGTGAGAATACCCCAATCATGTGCACTGATAACTTCTCTGGCAACTATATGGTGCCCAAGTTGAAAAGGAGATCCACTGAGCTCAACATTGGCAGTTCACAGTCTGACAATTTGTCACCGGATAGCCAGAGCAGCATTCTTTCCTATGGCACTGAAGTTACCGAAAATGGGGGCTCCAACTCAACTAAAGTAGGTGTTAGTTCGTTTCAACTGTTTGGCAAGATAATTCATATGAAAGAACCTGTCAGAAGCAGATTTGATGATGTTGGTTCCATTGAAGATGATGGTGGTAAAAGGTATGATGAAGCTGCGGGACCAGAGAAGTCATTAGATCTTTCATTGGCCTACGGCTATTCTAATCTGCTCGACAGACTAGATGTCCAATGCCAAAGAGCCTCAGCTGTTGATGGATTCTCCTTGTGAATGAATACGTGCCCTCATCACACAGATGAGTAACTGTTTAGGTATGATTTCTCTGATTGGATTTCCCAAGCTTATCATGCTATTATTGCATTTTGAAAATTAAATGTGACATTATTATTATCAAAGTAGTGGGGATTTCTTTTTGCTGTTTGTAATATATAATTTATTTTACATAATATGCTTTTCTTTTGAGCAGTCTGGATGTTTTAAAGTCTTATCTATTGGGCATCCTGTTCCTTTAGAAATGCTCCATTTAATGTTATTATGTTACTGTTTCGAAGATCATGCTCCTAGGTTCTTGTCATGCATTTGATGCACATGAGCATATCTTAAAAATGTATGTTGACATTTAGGATTATGAAGGTTGGGGAAAAAGTTGTGATCAATTGTGACTAGACTTGTACCTGCATCTTCTCAATAGGAACGTTGTTGGAATACATAAATATTAGTATCTTGCTGGCATCTGCTGACTGTCATCCAAGAATGCGTATCAAAACAAATAATTCTCGTATTTCCAAATTATGTGTGTGCCATTCATCATCTTTTAGCAATATTATCAAATCAGTTGAGCCAGGACATGGATAAAGAGACTCTGGTTGCAGCCATAAAAATCGAGTTCTCTAGAAATCACCCCAAATGTTGATGACTTGTGGTAGAGCCAAAGGCATTGGTGTGTAGGGGTCTGCTCCAAAAAGCCTTGTGAATTAGTGAGGATTTGAGAAAACCAGTTTGCTTTGTGAGCTTTTTTTTTTCTGGAGAACTGCCATGAGGGGGCTTAATAAGCAAACTTGAATGTTATTTAAGACAATGCTAACTAGTGATCTATTATGGCTGTTTAGTATATTCCGTGCTGGCTTTTGGTATAAAATAGCTTTATATGCTTTTCTGTTTGATCCTTCCATAACCCATATTGATTTGTGGTTCTTAAATCTCTGGTTGCAGGTACTTTAGGCAGGCAGGAAGCTGACACCCTGTAGGACTGTTAGTAGTTTTCGTATATGCTGAGTTTTTGTTTTAGTTAATAGTTATAGTTTTAGTTTTAGTTTGAACTCTTGGAAACTTGACCGTTAAAACGTTGACATGTACCATTTTATAACACTAAGTAGTTTCATTTTATTTGATTTGCACTGAACTCTGGATGATTGGAGGAATTTCGCGGACTGGCTTATATCTAGGTTCCATATATTCCTAGGTTGGGTTTTTTGCTAATATGGTCTTTGATCACAATTGTTTTGTAAGGCACTACGGTTGCTTGGCTTTTAGGAGCACATCTTCAGTTTCTCTTGTGATTCTTGGAATAAGTTTAGTTTAAATTGTATTATAAAATCAACGTTTATTTGATTTTAAAGTAAAATACATTGACATTTTCAATTTTTTATCATAATTACATGTGTGTCCAGATAAGTCTTACCGTAATTAATTGTTAATATTTTTTTTAATTTGATTAAATGATAATATTATTAAATTAATTTTATTTTTCATTAAGTTTAAAAATTATTATAGATTATATTTTCACTCTTAATTCTTTTTTCTCTCTTGTTAAAAAAAAAAAAAAAAGCCCTCAATCATGCGCACAACATGATTTGCCAGAGGATCTTATAGCTAGCGGCACTCTCCTAGGGAGCACCAAATCTAGCTCTCCCTTGGAGCACCAACACCGAGAGTACCATTCGGTGGCGTTTGGTACATTACAATGCAATGTGATTATAGGTAATGTGATTGCAAGTAATGTGATTGCAGGAAAAATAACATTACAGTGTTTGGTATGTAAGTAAAATAATGATTAAAATACAGGGAAGATACAGTTACAGTGTTTGGTTTACAAGTACTTTAGTGGGAATGTAATGCTAATGTGTCAAAATTACCCTATATTAAAATATAAGTTTATATATATTATATTTTTTATTATTAATTTTATATAATATCATTTCTTAAATATATTTTTAATATCATAATTTTATTTCTATTTATTATTATAATATTTTATATTTTATATTTAATATATTTATATTTATATTATTAATTTTATATAATATTCATTTCTTAAATATATTTTAATGTCATATATTTTATTTTTATTTATTATTATAATTTTATATATTTTATTTTTATATATTTATATTTATATTATTACTTTTATATAATATCATTTCTTAAATATATTTTTAATGTCATATTTTTTATTTTATTTGTTTTATAATTTATATATTTATTTTAATATATTTATATTTATATTATTAATTTTTATATAATATCATATTTTAAAATATTTTAATGTCATATATTTATTTTTATTTATTATTATATTTTATATATTTTATTTTTATTTCTTTAATATATTTTTTATCTTATATATTTATTTTAATTTGTTTTATCTATATTATATAAATATTAATTTTTATATTTATTTTATTTAATTTTTTATTCTTATATTATATATTTATTTTAATTATAATATTATAAAATATTTTTAATAAGATAATAAAGTTGAAGGGTAAAATTGTCTTTAAGAACATTGCAGAGTGCAATGTAATGTGATTGCATTGGTTTTGGACTGCAATCACATTACATCTATTGGCTGCAATGTGATTACATTGCAATCTTACATTGCAGTGATCTATTACAAAACAAACACTGCAATGTAATTTAATAAGCCACATTACAGGGAATGTGGCTTACATCCCTCATACCAAACGCCACCTTCTTTCTAAAGGAGCCCAAGGTGTGGAACTAGATATTGCGCCCCTCAGGGAAATTTGGTCAAATCTAGCATTTTTGTTAGATCTGATTGTTGGATAGCTGGTCAAATGTAAGAGAGTGCCGTTGGTAGGTATGAGAGAAAGGAAAAACTATATATATATTTTAGACATTTCATGTTTAAATATTAATGTTATTTACATGTTTAGGATAGATTATTTATTTTAAAAATTAATGAACTCGCGTATAACTATGATCAAAAGTTGACGGTATTAGTATATTGTACCTTTGATTTTATCCTCATTTTAGTATTATTTCAAAGTTCAATTTATTTTCATAACCCGTAAGTACAAGTTTAGGTTCACTTTTTTTTTACATTAAAAATTTTAATTATATTTTTATAAAAATATTAAAAATTTAAGGTTGAAGTGTTCTTCTTAATCTTTGATTAAATACAAATTAAATATAAACATTTAATTTTAAATAAAGAAAATATAATATTAATACATAAAATTTTCTTTAGTCTTCGTTTAAATTCATGGAGGGTTAAAATTTAAGCATGAGTTTAAATTTATTTTCTTTTATCAATACAAAATATAAGAATCCGTTTGGAAACCAAAAAATAACTTATTGGAAAAAAATTTGTATAAAATATTTGATAGGAAAATTAAATATTTTCTATGGTTTAGATAAACTATTGAAAACATTTTCTATTGTTTGTATCATCTTGTGGAAAATATTTTTCATCATCACTAGTGGAATTATTTGGGTATTAAAATGATAAATAAGAGTTGATTACAAAACACGTGCCATTTACTTTTCACATGGAAATGAAAATGGGGAAAATTAAGAATGGAAATGAAAATGAGAAAAATTAATAATGATTTTTTCCAAGCATTTAACCACATATTATAATGAAAGTAAGTTCTAATCTTCAAAAAAAATTTCATCTTATCATTTTTTAACCATAACAATATAAAAATATCAACATTCATTAATTATGGAAAACATCTAAAACCTATATTTATAAATTTACATTTTTTAAATTATGATCATTGAAATATTTTTTGTTGTAATTATTAATTAGATTTATTCATTTTATAAATAAAATATTAATTGCATTGAATGATTTCATTGAAAAAAATGTTTTTAGTTTTAATAGTATTGAATAATTTAAATATTAATATTATAAGTTAAAATTTTTTAAAGTTAAATATTAATATTTTTATTATTTTAAAATTAAATATTAATATTTATCAAATTTATTATGCTAAGTTTAGCATAAAAGCAATTTTTCTATTCTCCATAAAATATCTTTTAAGGGTATAAAATATTTTATGTGATCAATGGATATTTTTTCTGTTAAACTGTAAAATGTTTTACATTTAGAATAATTTTTTCCTCTCCCAAATAAGCATAAATTTTAAAAATATTTTTTAAAAAATATTTTACATTAAAACAAATAGAATACATTAACTTGCGATGGACCCATCTCCTATATGGAAATAGAAAATGGACTGGGTTGTTTTGGCCCATCATTGATTGTGCCCATGACTTTGACGAGGCATGAGCTTTGCCCTTGCGTTGATTCACTAACCTTAGTTTCACTTTCTCCAATCTTGTGATATTTTAGTTAATAGTGTATTTTCAAAATAAAAAATTATTTCATATAATAAAAAGTTATCTTAATTCAAAGATTATGTTATATACAATAATATAGTGTAATTATTAGATTGTAAGTAGATTTTTCATGTGAATAATTATATCTTTTGGTAAAATGATATATTGAAAAAACACCTCTAAATCTAAAAGTTATGAGATAATTGAAAAAACATCACAACTCAAAAATTTACATATGAAAAGTTATCTTTCATACTGAACTCAAAGATTATGTTTTATGAAATAAATAATTATCATTTCATAAAATGATTATTGAAATAATACTTTTATCCAATAATTATGTCTTACAAAATGCAAAAGTTTTCTTAAGACAAAAAGGTGCCTCGATAAAAAAGTGGTATATTTGAAAAAGAGACACTTGCAAGTCTATATAAAGGACTTGCTACCAATTATTTTGACATATCAAAATAAAAATTAAGAGTAAGAGAAGTGTTGTGTTTTGAAAATTAACAAAAACTTAAGTTCTTATCAATTACAAAAACGCTTAAATTCTTTATAATCTACTTGATGTAGAAAGTAAGCTCTAAAACTAAATAATTTTGTAAACTATAGATTGTATGTAGTGATATACTTTCGTAAAATGTAAGACGAAATTAGACATTTACTTTATTGAATCACATTATTTTTTTAAATGAAAAGTGGTGAGGGTGAAATAAGTTTTAAAGATAACGTCTAATAAAAAATTAGCCTGGAAGTCAATTTTTTCGATTTCTTAAATTCCATCTAAACCTTGTTTGTATTAATATTAGTTAAATAGGCTTTTATGATAAATACTTAATTAATTATCATTAATCAAAATATCCGTTATCATTATACGTCTACACAACGTGATGCTGACATGAACAGTGAAAAGTGATGCATAACTATATTAGTATATCGCATCAGCATATCATATAACAAAACATGACAAATAATATTTTGACTAATTATTATTATTTATATAATTGAAGTGTGCTTGCTTTTACTCAAAACATCAATTTTGGGATTCCAAAAATTCATAGCCACAACTCCATGTAGCTTATTTAAAGATTGCTACTCCATCTTTTAAAATATATATGTTCAATTAATGGAATTTTATTTGTTTTCTCTTAGTTTAAATGTTAGTTAAATTTGGACATTTTAAACCCCTAAAACCAAGTTTTGATAACTTGGTAGGAGCAACTGAGTTAATATGATTAAAGGCTCGAATTAATAAGGCTCATTGGGTTTGGATTTAACTGTATTAATAAGGCTCATTGGGTTTGTATTGGGTTTTCTGTCCAAAAAAGAGCCAGACCCATGTCCTCTTGAATCTCTACAGCCCAAGGATAAATTAGTCAGTCGAACTCTCCTCAAGCTCCAGACATATCTTCTACCAACACTGTTCGGCAAAGGCAAGCAATTCTAGCAAGGAAGCCGTAGGGCTGTCTGTTATTGTCCCTTTATCTTGGGTTTAATTTAAGTACCCTTCAATTTTCTGACATAAATCTGTTAGAAACGTTAGCAATCTTAGATTCATCTGCTACAATTATACATAAAGCAATGGCTGTATCATTCTCTAACCATTCTCTGTTGGCTCCTCACTTTGCAGCTTCATCTTCTTCTTCTTTAAAGCCCTCAAAAGACAACAAACTACCTTTGTTAACCCTTCAATCTCTCCATCGAAAGCCTCGTTTTTCAAAGCCCATATCTGGGTTTTCTCCATCCAACCTTTCGTTCCCTTTGAACAGGTACAAGAATCCCAAAAGGCTTACTTTCAAGGCTTCTCTTTCAGCCCAAGAGTCTGCTCCCACTGTAAGTTCATTTTTTTCCCTTCTGGGTTCTTGTTTCTTTTTTTGTTCTAATTTTTTATCTCATTCATTCTGTCGTTATATTGTCCTATTGTTGAAGGTGTTGTCTTCTGTTGCATTAAAAGGAAAAGATTTGTTGAATTTCCTTCTTTTTATTATCATCGTGGTAGAGGAAAATTAGCTAGAGATGGTAATTTGAATTGATAACAAATACTTATTATTGTTTCATTGTTTATAGGAGTATTAATTTTATGAAGTAATTTTATCAGGACGACGTAAAAACATCAGTAGGAGAAAATTTGCCAAGTTTAAAGGCCATGATTAAAGTTTACAAGGAGGCTCTTCTCAATGGAGATGATAGGATTGTATCTGAGATAGAGAGTAGAATAAGCATTATACAAAATAAGAAGAATGGATTGGAAAAAAAAGTTTTGGAGTTGTCTGCAGAGATAACCACTGGGAAAGAGAAATATGTCCGTTTGCAAGCTGATTTTGATAATTTCCGCAAAAGATGGGAGAAGGAGAGACTTACAACAAGGTCTGATGCCCAAGGAGACGTGATTGAGAATCTTTTGCCCATGGTGGACAGTTTTGAGAGAGCCAAGCAACAAATAAAACCGGAAACGGAGAAGGAAAATAAAATAGATATGAGTTATCAGGGCATATACAAGCAGTATGTGGAGATCTTGAGGAGTTTGCGAGTGGCTGTTGTACAAACTGTTGGAAAGCCCTTTGATCCCTCTGTAAGTGTTTTTTTTTAATGCTGTGCATAATATCTGTTTTCTTGGTACTAGTCATAGTAGGGCTTTGTTTAATTCAGTCACATTGGAAAAGTATATTGCAAGTTTTGGACATATATATGCATGGTTCAGTTAGTTGCCTATAAGCTTAAGTTTTTGAAGAAGGCCTTTGAGAATAGTACTATATAATCCAAATCTTCAGTCAAGGAGGCACTTGGGTTCAATTTGGCTGGGGTTTTGTCTCTATTCAACTTTCCTTGGTTCAGTTTGTGTTTCAGGCTTGGTTTTAGTTTCAAGCTCCATGTGTTAGCCTGATTATCTTTGAGGCTTGCATGTGATGGAATGTTAAGTGAGTGACATACATTAGGAAACTATAGTTCAAGTTTGGGCTAGGTACCTGTGATCAATTGGAACTTGCTTTTAACCTCAAGAGTTAGATGCCATGCATCTCCAGCACTGAAAGTATGCATATCTACAATTTGAATCAGGACATTCTAGGTATTGACAAAGAAAATTATGAAGCAAGATTGCATATAACTAAGGGCTATAGTTTTCTATCATTCAGTTTGGTTTTCCTGTCTGGATCATTGGCTAAGATAATACTATGCCATCCGGCTGGCATTAGTTAGTCTTGCAATACGTTATTGATTTAGGCATATTCCACTCCAGTATATGATGAAATTGCATGTTGTCCCTATTTTGAGCCCAAAATAAAAATACACCATTCAGAAGTTTGATTGAAACAATAAACTTGTAGACTTTGGATGATAGTCATTGGCAAATGGAAATTAGCCACCTGATATTCCCAGCCATTTCATTATTGATTCACTTGTCTGTTACAGCTACATGAAGCGATAGCACGTGAGGAGTCTCAAGAGTTCAAGGAAGGGATTATAATCCAAGAATTTCGCCGTGGATTTCTCCTTGGGGATCGACTTGTCAGACCAGCGATGGTTAAAGTTTCTTCAGGGCCAGGTAGTAAGAAAGCAAGTGTGGCCACTGAAAAATCTTCTGGGCAACCTGCAACAACTGGAGTGGATGACCGATAATGTTGTTTTATAAGCTCAGCAATCCAAATGGGGATAGATACTTGCATTGGCACTCTGACCATCTCTTCAGCATGTGAAGGCTTTTTCTGTTGAACATTTCCTTTGCTATTTTGCCTATGACGTGACCCTTGGTTTCGATGTTGTCAAATTCAGTTTTCATGGTCTCAAAGGGGGCAAAACACTTGTACAACTAAGAATATTCACATTAATTGATTTGTTAAAGCAAAATCTCTTCCTTTTCTTTTTCTTTGCTTGGCATCCCCATGTATATTGTGTTGGTGTAATTCGAAATGTGCTTTGATGTTTGTCAACCCCTATATGCTGAAACACCAGCTTTTCAAATCAAGTCAGCAGGCAAATTTTGAGTAAATTTCAGTTGTCAGGCAGAGCCTGGATGTGAAAATTTCTTCTATCCTATGTCCTTCAGATTTCAACTCCACCTTGAACCTGCTTTTCACTACATACATGCGCATATCCTAGAGCCTATATTCCCGATGCTGTACCCATCTGCGGTCATTCCTCTTTAACTGAAAATTTGCGTCCATCACTCACAAACATGTAGGAAGAACCTCGAGAAAGGTTAATAATAGCGTTCCATAGCAGAATCTTCTTTAACTTCAGAGTCTGACAATGAGACTAAGAACAGCTTGGCCATCCTCGTTTTACCACGTCTGCTGTTTGGCATAGGTGCCTATCAAAGCACTTGCATCTTGCAACTTAGAAGTCGCATTCAGAAAAGTCCCTATCAAGGGTAATAGCTGTGATTCTCTTCCCAGTCTTTGTGCTCCCATGTCATCACACCCAGGGAGAAGAACAGGAAATTAATTGAGCATTGCTCAAGCCCTTCCGCCACCGTTTCATAATAAGGTTCTGTAGCCATTTCTGATTGCTGATTGCTGATGTGAGATGCCAAATCACTTATATTTTACTTTCACAGGAAAGCTAATTTCAGTGACATAAATGTACCTGCCACTCAACTAACATTAAAGTCAAATGGAACAAGAGAGATCAGCAAGCTTTTGATAATCACGTATATTTTCAAGAACCCAATTCTTTACAACCAATTAAAATCTATTTACAGAAGCAGAAACTACATTCTCCAATCCTCCTGATATCATAAAGTGTAATGTCAATTCCTTCTTTTACATCAACCAATTAACAAGTTTGCATTTGCTATTTTGGAAATGAGATCCATTCTGGTCCTTCAAAGCATGAAGGAGATGAAGAATTTCGATCTCCTGCACTCTGAGCTGTCTTCTATATTGTGAACTGCCAGCATTCAGTTGGGTTCCATCATTTGAAAACGGAGCTTTATGGCTGCCATCATCTACACAGAAGGTGCACTCAGATTGTGGATGAAAATACTTCACAAATCAATTCATAGAAAAAGTCAATTCACCTCTTTTGCAGTATAAGATAAACCAAGTTAATGACCCACACAGATTAAACATGCCAGTGATAATTATAGGCACATATGAAAGAAGAATTGACAGAAACGCAAGCCACTTTGACAAATTTAATAATATTTCCTCCCCTCTCTCCTCTTAGCATTTAGATGCACCTTTAGATAATTTAAATTACAAGGAGGAGGAGGTCTTTACAATAAGAGTACAAGTGAAAAGTAAATAAGGAACAGGCCAAGAGAGAGACGCACATAGGAAACCCCAACACTAGCATAAGTAAAACAAACTAACTAACAAAAGGAAAACCCTTTAAAAACAAACTACTGCAAAGGAACAGAATTCCAACCATTATACAAGATTCTTCTCACTAACTGACTGACTATAGAGAGTATGCAAAATTAAGAGCATGTAAAAGAATATTAACCTTTGACACTTCTATTTGTAAATTAACCATTGGCTAATCACCTTTTCTTTTTTGACAAAATTCCTCTTTCATTGCATCCCGGATGGCAGCAAAAGGAATGAAATCCCTGTAGGTGCCTTCAAGAGTGTGCACAGTAATAAATCCCAATTACCAAATTACACCTTTCAAGGTCTAAAGCAGAAAAATGAGTTAACCTTGCCTTGTTTATTTGTACAATAGGAAGTCATCCCTTTCATTCTAAACTAACTGCAGCTGCACACCAGGCGCAGATGGTGTACCACAGGGTGATAAAACTGCTTATTACCACCTTTGAAATCATAGCAAAGTTTCTCCCATAGTAAGGGTTCGCATTGCTTAACAGTGCCGATGATCACATCCATTTCACCTTAACTTAATTGACATCCCCTTGTCAAACTATGTTCTTCAAAAAAGATCAATTAATTAACACTTAAATAGAAACCCGAACAATTCAATCAAATACAATCTTTTACAAGCTACACAGAACGTAATATAACAAAGAACAAGTCAGATGTTTCATGTCAAACCAACTGATCGGAGACAGAGTTAATTGAGATTAATCAGAAGAGAAACAATAAATAAACAAATAAATAAATTACCTACTGAGAAGAAGAACTTTGAGCGTTGATGCTGTTATAATATCTCGATAATCGACGAGTCGGCGGCTTTGGTTTAACCGGTTTTTTTCTCAGACCGAAAATTTCTTGAACCAGTGGCACGTGTACCAGAACTAACTTCCATGCCAACCACCACCCTATAAGTTCGAATTTATAAATTCAAAGGGAAAAAAAACACTTGATTATCAGCCAATAAAATCCTTCAATTACGAAAAATAAAATTACGAATTTGATAAAAAAAAATTACATAGAAAAATGAAGGAGAGGACGAAAAAGATTGCGATAATCGGTCGGAATAGTAGCAGATTGAGATAATTCCAAAAAGATAGAAAATTCGACGAAGTCGACGATGAAGAGGACTCCATGGACTGCACAGCTAAAAGCATCGAATCCACGGACCTCTTCCAGGAGAAGAACGTTTCTGTCTTTATCCTGATGCTGGGCTGGGCTTCACTTGGTTAGCTGAACTGGGAAGCAAGGAAAAAATAAATAGAAATTATTCAATTGTACGTATCTTTCCGGTTACCGCGCTTATAATATTTTATATTCTCTTTTATATTTTTTAAATATTTATATTTTTTATGTTGAGAATATAATAATATTTTGTTAATAATAAAAATTCTAATTAAATAAAATTAAAATTAAGAAAATGACATATGCTGACAGTAATTATTCTTAAATTTATATATTAATATTTGTGTTATTAAAGATATATTAATATTGAAATCGTCAAATTTTATTGACAACAACAACATAATCCATGAATAAAAATATCATTCAAAATATAATATTAAAAGCTTATATTATTTCAAAAGATTGATTCAATTTTTAATAACAAAGTTCATAACTTATATCATACCTTCTTTTATTTATGTAAATGGTTATGTATATAAGCATATATTATATTTGTAATTTGATTGTGTAAATATAACGAATGTAAGCTTTTAAAATCATTCATAGCATTTATGCATTAGTAATTTATATTAATTGAATATTTTATTTTTATTTATGTTAATCATATTTTGTTGATATTTTTTAAAAAAAGATTTCTCATTATTTTATTTTACCAATAAAATTACTATTTAATTAAATACATAACCATATAAATTATACCTAAAACACCTCATTGAAATTGGATTTGGACTTAAGCTGCATTTTGGTCAAATAATGAGTTCGACAGGAACAAACTTTCTCTCTCTCTTAATTTTAAAATTATGCCGTTTTAAATTTTGTATATAAATCTTAGCCCAAAATGAAAATCCTAATTTTTAATTTCTCACGTCTTCTTTCTATCTAAAGCATTCGACTCTCTTTTTCCTCTCCAATCCATTTTAGTATTAAAAAAAGGTAAGGATGAGCGATAATCAGTAGAACAAATTATGAGAAATAGTTAACTTTATAAATTTATTTTAAAAATAAAGTTAAATATAAAATTAATTGTTTTTATTTGACTTTTGTTACAATTTAACAAAAATATTCTTAAAACCCTTTCAAATAAATTAGATATTTTCGATTTTTCACTCACATCATCCAAAACACTATCCATCTCGTTCTCCCAACTTTCTCATGTTTTTTAAACCATTTAAAATGATGTTTTTTGTTTACTCAATTTCTTTTCAAAAATTTTAATAATTAAAAAATTTTAAATAAAAAAGAAAAAAATAGTTCGAGATTTTTCATTCATCTTGAAATAAATAAAAGATTTTTAATTTTTTCAAATTTGGTGCAAATTTGAAATAAAGAGAAAGTGAAAAAGGAAAAAAAGTTGAAAAAGAACGGTAAGAAAGAAAATGATTTTTGCATTTTGTATGTAGAGGACAGAAAATGAATGGTACAAGATTTTTCGTAATCTTGAAATAAACAAAAAGCTTAAATTTTTTAAAGTTGGTGCAAAATTGAAATAAAGAGAAAGTGAAAAAAAAAGTGAAAACGAACTATATGAAAGAAAATGATTTTTATGTTTCAATTGCTTCCATCTATCTTTAATTTGGAAAAACCTTATAAAAAATTTTTAAAAAAATCCTTACTGGATGATTTTGTTGATGAATCGCAAAACTTTGTATTACTTCTTAATAATTTCGTTTATATCACTTCTTAATCATTTCATAAAAAAATTTTATTTATATCACTTCCTAATAATTTTGTAAAAAAATTTATTGGAAAAATGTTCTCTACTATGTGTAAAGGCTTTAGGAGATTTTTTTTTATAATTGAGAAAAAAAAAGATTCGAACCCTACTCTTTAGACTAAGAGATGATATATCAATTAATAAGTTAAATGCTCAAGTGTGTAAAAACTTTGAGAGATTATTATAACATTTTTTTAATATAACGTGTAATAATTTTTTTTAACATGTTGTATAACAATTTTTTTTTAATATGATGTGTAACAATTTTTTTTAATATAACATGTAGTAACATTTTGAACTTAATATGTAACAATGACATTTTTCAATATGACATTTAATAATTTTTTTAATATGATATGTAATAATTTTTTTTCAACATAATGTGTAATAATTTTATTTTCAATGTGATGTATAATAATGATTTTTTTTTCAACATGAAGTATAATAATATTTTTTTTTAACATCATATATAATAACTTTTTTCCTAACATGATAAAAGTAACAACATTTTGAATTTAATATGTAATAATAATATTTTTTTTCAACTTGACTTATAATAAAGATAATTTTATTCAAAATTTTTTTTTAGATTAAAAATAGTTAAAATTATAAAAAAATTATTTTAAAAAGCACTTTAGTTATGAAGGTTAAAAAATTATTATTTTATTATTATATACATTTTTCTGAACCCAAACAGATAAAAACAGAAAAAAAGTGCAGCATGGAAATCAATTGGATACTTTAATATAATGGTATTAGTTATTATGCATAGGAAACATGAAAAACAAATGCACCATGGCCCATTCCAATTTCCACGTTGGGGACCAACCTTGTTCTTCGACCGAAAAGGGCAAAACAAGCTTGAACCTAACTGGAGTTCTGTCTACATGAGTCGAGACGAAGGAAACATTCTCCGCAAGCCAGCTCTAGTCCATTTACGCCACGTGTAATATCACCGGGGCAGGCCCGTATGCCCAGCTGTTGTTCCCGGTGAAAAAACTCACGAGGCCCAAAATATGATCCAGGTTCATTCCCTCGTCTTCGTCTGCCACCCAGTCACAAAGGGAAGCCTTCATCATAATTATCTCTCCATTCCTGTCTAGTTTGTACATACATCTCCATTGTGCAAGGTTCAGGGACTCAGTTGGAAAAAAGGAGACCTTATTCTTTTTTTCAAATTTTTTCTATGGAAAGGTCTGCTTCTGCTCCACCATCGAATCAGCCAAGGCTTCGTTATTTCCGTTGTAATTGCTTTAGAAACTGTTGCCGCTGTTTCTGTTGCTTTTACACCTTCCATTAAAGGGCTGTACGCTCTTCCCCACCTGAAAAAGTTTCCCCAAACACTTCAATTTTTATAAAATTCCCCTTTTTTTAGGGTAATGGATTTATCTCACGCTGAATCGGGTCTGTCTCTGGGTTTTACTAAAACTTCCATTGCAGACGATTCGATTTCGCTTCAAATCGACACCAGCTGTCGCTGCTCATCGAACCCGGTCCGGCCCATTCCGTTACAATTCCTCGAAAGAAAAGACGAAGGTGCCTCTTGGTTCGAGAACGGCGCGCACATAAATCACATCAAGGAAGATGAAGAAATTAGGATTTTAGGGCAATCCATGTGCGTGAAAAGACATAGGGATTCCCAATCTGTTTCCAACATTTGTAAACGGTTAGCTACCGAGCCCGGTCTGGACCAAAGACGAGCCGCGGTCCGGTCATGGGGAAACCAACCGCTCGAAGAGGCGGATCCGGAATTGAGTGAAATCATGAACAAGGAAAAGCAAAGGCAATTCTTTGGAATTGAGCTTATTGCTTCTGAAAACTTCGTGTGCCGAGCTGTGATGGAAGCTTTGGGAAGCCATTTGACGAACAAATACTCCGAAGGAATGCCTGGAGCAAGGTACTACACGGGCAATCATTTTATTGATCAAATCGAAACCCTATGTCACGAGCGTGCATTGGCAGCTTTTAGTCTTGATTCCGAGAAATGGGGAGTCAATGTACAGCCATATTCATGTACTTACGCGAATTTCGCTGTTTATACCGGACTTTTGTTGCCAGGTGATAGGATCATGGGGTTGGATTCACCATCCGGAGGGCATATGAGTCATGGATGGTATATGCCGGGTGGGAAGAAAGTATCTGCTGCTTCCATATTTTTTGAGAGTTTTCCTTATAAGGTGAATCCGCAAACAGGGTATATTGATTATGATAAGCTTGAGGAGAAGGCACTTGATTATCGGCCTAAGATACTTATTTGTGGTGGTAGTTCATATCCTAGGGAGTGGGACTATGCTAGGTTTAGGCAGATTGCGGATAGATGTGGAGCAGCGTTGATGTGTGATATGGCTCATATTAGTGGTCTCGTGGCTGCTAAGGTTTGGACTTGACTTGCTTTGATTAGTTATTGGCTTGACGTTTTGATTCTAATATAAAGATTTTTGTGCCCTGAGTTGAGGTTTCTGGCAATTTTTGCCTGGGTTATTTGGTTTCTTGCGATTCATTTGGATAGTAATAGGCCTGTGTGAAATTGCTTATGTAATCTATAAAAGTATATGGTGCTTTGAGAACACTTAGATTAACTTACTAGTAGCATGCTGTTGGCAAATTATCACTAATGGTACTGTTTGTTTGCCAAATATGCATGCAATTCACACACCACAACCTTCAATGCTATGCAACTGAACTCAACTGAAAAGATATGCTCACATTTACATTTAAGGAAAGGAAGAAAAACTAACTTCACTTAACCTTTAGAGAGAAAACTTAAGCTTTATTTTGTGAAAAGCAAATCATATCAGTCTGTGAATTTGTATTTGCAAACAGCATTTGTAACTTATCCTGAACTGGCTATTTAGTCGAGCTTAGGTAAAATTTGTCTATTTGGTTTTGTGAGATAGACTGATTTATCATATAATGATCATGAACTGACTTTGTAAGCCATAAATGGATCATCTAAGATTTTCATTTTTACCTTCTCCTTCCTTAACAACTTTGAGTTGATAACACTTGGTAATATGTCACCTAAAGCACATGATCCTTTGAGTCTATACACATATAAATGCACATACACCTCATCCTTTGTTCTTGTTAGTGAGGGAAATTGGTGTTTCTTTTCTTTTTTTTGTCTCTCCTTTTGGTTGGTTGAGTCTACTTATTTCAGAGAAAAGGTGATATTTTGGAGACTGCTAGTTATAGAATTTAATTTTGATTGTTATTGGGCTAGTGATCATATCATTTTTATAGTTAGTGTCCAGTTGGCTTTATGCTGAATTCATTTAGGGTGCTCTGCTTGTTTTGCTGTTACTAGCTCATCCTTGATACTTACGAAATTCAAAGGTATAGACTGTTGATTTTCGACAAGGTGTTTTCCACTGTGGTGCTCAAGGGAACAACACTTCTCAGATCTAATTGTTAGTGTTATATGAGTACAAAATAACGGGAAGGATTGTGTGTATCTCAAGCTTGAAAATAGTAGAATTGTATGCTGAGGTTTTTGGTTGTACTGAATACTGCACCACCACGCCCTCCCCCCCTAAAAAAAAGGAAAAAATCCGTCTTATGATGCTGCATCCCTTGAAAGAAAAATACTAGCTTTGACATGTAATGTCTCTTCAGGTTGATCTCTCTTTCCATATTTGCCTTTTTATGTAAGGCATTATGTGTTTTTCTTTCCCCTACCAGGATGTTCACTATTGTCCATTACAGGAATGTGCCAGTCCATTTGACTACTGTGATATTGTTACTTCAACAACTCACAAAAGTCTGCGGGGCCCAAGGGGAGGTATAATCTTTTACAGGAGGGGTGCAAAATCAAGAAAACAAGGAATGTCTCTCAGTAATGGTGATTGTGGTAGTCAGTATGATTTCGAGGAAAAGATAAACTTTGCTGTTTTTCCATCATTACAAGGGGGACCTCATAATAATCATATTGCCGCTCTTGCCATAGCCTTAAAGCATGTGGCTACACCAGGGTACAAAGCATATATGCAACAGGTGAAGAAAAATGCTCAGGCTTTAGCATCTGCTCTGGTGAGAAGAAAATGCAAATTGGTTACCGGGGGCACTGACAACCATTTGTTGCTCTGGGATCTCACTACCCTAGGTTTAACAGGTATTCTAATCTTATCCGCTCGATATCACAAACCTGGTGTATTAACATAGTTAGGCAATATGTGCTAAGTGCTGACATCTTGAATTTGTTTTTTGTTGGAATTATGTTATTCCTTTCAGTGATTTAGTTTGATTATGTTAACATTGCTGTTGTCCATCACCTGTGACCAATTTTCACCCAAAACTTTTTAATGGCTTTTTTCACTTTCTTTTCTCCCTTTTGCTAGTCAGCCTCTATTTTTGTTTTGAAGCGAACTTCGTTTTCTTGTTGGATAATGTCACATTGATTATGGAATTTATCAAAAATCCCTTGTGAGGATCAACTTGCCGTTAAACTTATAATAAAATTTACCAGTCTTATTCAAGGCCATGTTTTAAATAGAGATACCTTATGCCAAGTTGTTTAATTCCATGTAAAGAGTACAAATAAGTAATTCTCTTGAATAAAATATATCATTAAAGATTATAAAGGCATAATATCTTGTAAAAATATTTAACCATAACAAAAATTGTGTAGTGAAAATAGAAGCTGGTAGTTGAGTTTAAAGGCTGTCAAATTTTCTTGAGAATCAAAAGAAAATTGAGCTAATTGCTTGTAGACCTCATTTGATTCAAGTTTTCCTTCTTTCTATTTCTCACTAGTCCATGCTTTCCACAATAAATTATTATTATTTTGAAAACTGGCATTTGTTTTAAGCTCTAAGGCAATTTGAGGTTGCCTGGATATACAGGACACACATCAATGCGTCACATGCCGTAGCAATACTTATTAGAACAGAGGGTAGAGGTTCTGTGTTCTTGTGTTATCATTCCTACATTCTTCATATTTTTAGGTTCTACTTGCTTTCTTCCCAATGATATTCCATGTGCTTTAAGTATCTTAAAACAAATTTATATTCAAAGTAGCATCCTAGCCATGTTAGTTTTCTTGAGCTAGTAAAAATTTATGTTCCATATTTGTCAATGTGTTTGTGATGTTTAACAAGATTGATTAGTTCTAATAATTTATTACTATAATGAGCCCATATATGTGCCTTTATCAATATGCAGAATGCATTCTTGTTTGTACTAATGCAGATGCTTTCCTGCTCTCTTTCCCTCTCTAATAACTCTTTCTTATTCTGTTTCCCAGGTAAATGCTATGAGAAAGTTTGCGAGATGTGCCACATCACTCTCAATAAAACTGCTATATTTGGTGATAATGGTGCTATTTGTCCTGGAGGAGTGAGAATTGGTAAGCGGTATTCTTCTCTTTGCAGTTGGAGAAATTTCTTCTTGCTTTTTGGCAGCTTCATATATGATTTTTTTTTTGAAAAGACAGCTTCATAGATGGTCGCATTATATCATGCTTTAGTTTTGTTCTGCATGCACATTATCTAGGTTTGTTGCCAGATTTTTGTTACAGAGTCATTGAAATGAGGCATATGGTAAAATTTTGTGCTCAACTTTCTAGTATCAGTTCTTTCAAGTGCAATAATATGTTATTTTTACCCCTTTAATGTATTTAGAAATGACTAATTCATGTGGTAGTTAGAGTGTTTATTACATTTACTATGGGTATTTGAAGTTACGAAGGTGCTAAAGGAGCACATATTGTGCTTTGGCCTTGTGCTTCTTGCTGGCTAACTGGCAATGGGTGTATTGAGGCCTCAAAACATTGTTGAGAATCATATGAATCATTAATTTTTCTTTTATGTAGTGACTCAATTATTGTTGTGGTTTCCTGCTTTATAAAACATTAAAATTAGCATAATTAAAATAACAACAGGTTCCTAGTGTATTAAGACAGATGTTTTATCTTTTATTTCAACTACTATATTTTGAATGCAGTTCATTTATAGTGGTTCGCTTACTAATACTCTTTATGTTTTTATTGTCGCCAAAGTACTGGCTTCCAATATGTTCTTCCATTCTTGTCTTAGTTTTCCTAATTTTATATATTTTTCTCAGGTACTCCTGCTATGACATCGAGAGGTTGTTTAGAGTCCGATTTTGAGACAATCGCTGACTTTCTTTATAGAGCAGCTCAGATTGCCAGTGCTGTGCAGAGGGAACATGGAAAATTGCAGAAAGAGTTTCTCAAGGGTCTTCACAATAATAAAGATATTGTTGATCTTCGGAATCGGGTTGAGGCATTTGCTGCTCAGTTTGCAATGCCTGGATTTGATACTTGAAGATTTATAAAGATGGCATGCATGCTACTTGGCATCATTTTCTTGCATCTCTGGCATACTATCACATGTGCTTTTGGTAATCCGTTCTGTTTTGCCCATCCACATTTTCTTAATGAACTCATGTAAATTACAGTAAATAGGTTAACATTTTTGGATATGTTTCCAAAATTTAACAGAAATCACATTACATTGTCTGAACCAGCTGTGTTTTTGTAACTTTTGTAATTTTTGTAAAATGTCATACAGAGCCATTTCTTTTAAAATAGTACTTATAATATTTATGATGCAAGCATATTTTATGAAGTTCACTCTTGCTAGCTCCCCTGTTTGGTGTGTTTTTTTGTGACAGAGAAAGTCAGTGAGGCAGTGAAAGTGTATTGCTCCTTATGGCAAGAACCTTAGCAACAGATGCGACCATATTTATAATGTGGATTGTCAGGGTTATATGCAGCCTACTGAACTGGTTGACAATAGCACTGTTATGTTACTGCTGTTTGTTCCGGATAATTGAAACAAGGCAAACAACCACTTTAAGTATCCCTGTTGATTTTGATGGTTTTTAAAATATATCATACTACTTTTTTCCTGCATAGCATGATATTGTCTCTGCATTTACTTGCTATGGCTCCTGTGGCTCTTGGGATCTTAGTCATTTTTGTTTTGTTTCTGGTTTTCGGTTTTTGGCTAATTTTAGTAAGCGGTGTAAAGAGGAAACAAAAGCTGAGAACTTTTCTTTAAAACAAATAAAGAAGAGCATGATTTGGGGTGATAATGTGGGGCTTGGCGTGTTGTTGAACGGGTAATCATCCTGCTCAGTACGTATAGCCCATAGCACAGTTGGAAGCATAATTTTTCTGCTGCTGCCAAAACTTGGTGCTAGCTTTTATTTATTCACTACTTGATTTTGTTTTGTCTGTGTTCCCCCCCCATTATTTTATGCTCTTTTTTTTTTGTTTATTTATTCAGCCTCCTCGCATGGAACCCTTGAAGGGAGGCAAGGCATGAATTTCCGGCAGGGACAAAAAGCATGAGATACGGTTACAAGCGAGAAAGTGACCCCCCCCATATTTTCTTTAGTTTACAATACCACAGACCCCCCCAAAAGAGGGAGAAAATAAAAGAGAAAGGATAAATATAACTTGGAGGGAGAGAGAGAGACTAAGAAGAGACATGTCAGGAAGAAGGGATGTGCTTCGAAGCTTTCATCATCAACTCCATTGCTTTCAAAGTTGAACCGAATCAGACAAAAGCTTCCTGAGGGCAAAGAAGCTGCTGCTTTTGAAATTAAAGCTACCCAGGAATCTCACAGCCCTCCCTACAGCCCTAAGGCCCCCTCCCCTTTTTCATCATTTTTTCACCACTAGAATGATTAGTCATTTACTATAACAACTTTGAGAGGACCTCTTTGGACCACCGGATCAAGAGGGAAGCTACTTTCAATGTAATTAAAATAATTACTTTACCTACTATATATATATATATATATTTAATTTAACCACAATTCATTCAGGATTTGACTCTGATATTCTCCCCAGTTTCTTAAAAACAAAAACAAAAATAAAAACGAAAACGCAAGAAGCTTCTATGCTCTTTTTCTCCCATGTAACTTGTAAGAAAGATAAAAACATCAGAGAGCAAGTAGGAGGCTGGTTTGCCCTGCATGAAAATTAGTCCTAACCTTCTTTTCTTGTGCCCTTTTTTGACTAGACTGTTTATATTTTAAGATTGTTCAAACCCAGAATTTGCTCTGCTTTGTCGTCCCCCTCCCCTGCATATTTGTTATCTCTGGTTTTGGGAAAAGAAACTACTACTATCTTCAAAGTAGAAACAATGAATGCTCCAAAGATTAAAAAAAATAAATAAAGAAAATTTTTTAATAGAAGAAAAAAGGGAAAATTAGAAGGAAGGGAAAGGGTTAAAAGGTACAACAACCCCCAACAACTGATTCCTCTACCTAGTATTTTTTTTTTCAACCATCCTAATCTCTCTGTTTTCTCTCTCTACCTATGACTGCAAAAGTCCAAAAGCTTCTTCCTCCCTTCAACAATCTCATCAAAGAAATCATCAAGTTGGCCAACAATATTCTCAGCACCAGATCTTAACACCCCAAAACACCCCTTCA